TGTGTCTTTGCTTTGCTATGTCTGTGTATGCCCTGTGTGCCCCCACACTTTCACCATTGGTGCAGTGGTCCCTTCTCTCTTTGGCTGATGGGAACCTCAGTTAGCCACAGCCCTCTGCAGTGTCTCCAAACCCCACAGTTTCTGAAGCCTCCTGGGACATTTGAAGGACAGCAGATCTGATAGGAGAAGGGAAACCCTGACCCTCAGCTTAACCTGAACTTAAACAACAACAAAAAAATCAATGAAATTTCACAATCTGATTATTTCCTTCTACCTCGTGCCCCCCCCTTTTTTTGACAGGGGAAGCAAAAAGCTTTTGGATAAAACGTTTTGTTTGGTGGAAAATAAATTGGAAAAAAAATACCATCATGTGTCTCAGTCTCTGAAATGTAATCTAAGGTTATACCCCAAAGCAAAGTGGAGCCGGGAGAAATTTGGCCTCTGTCTCTGTCTTCTTCAAGTCTCTCTTGGCACAGGATTTTCCAGTCTACGTGTCCGTTTGTACACAGACCTCAGCTGTCAGCAACTCGAGTCTCCCAGGTTTGCTTTAGTTTTTGCTGTTTAAAAGTAATGGCTGAGCCTCTTACAGAAAACGCTTTGGAAAGCTCAATGCAGCCTCCTCAAACTCAACACAAGAGGGCTGCAGTCAAGTGATCAGGCACTATGCAACCCGGAGTAAATGTGCCTGATTTCCAAGCTATCATGCTGGTGGCATCTGGCCTCTGGTCTCTTCCGGCACGGTCTTCCATGGCTGTTCAGGGAGGGGGGAAATGGATCACGCGTGTGACCCAGCCGTGTCGTGTACACAGGAAACTCACCTCTGCAGCCCCACTGGGTTTAGTTTTTGCTCTGCTGTGTCCTGGTCCACGTCCCTTTCACACCTGTCTGTATGCGTCTTCACTCCCAGACTTCCCTCTGCATTGCGTCTCCAGAGGCTCCTATCTCAGATGCACCGAAGGGCTCACGTCAAGCCCCATTCGTCTAAGCCACCTTCATTGCCCTCCTTGATCAGTTCTCAGTTTCACCAACTTTTCTGAGCACCGTCTGCCTCTCTCTCCTTAATAGTTGTTTTTTTTTTTTTGAAACAGGTTTTCTCTGGGCAGCTTTTAGAGTCTGTCCTAGAACTTGTTCTGTAGACCAGGATGGCCTCGAACTCACAGAGATCCACCTGCCTCTGCCACCTTGGGTGCTGGGGTTAAAAGCATGTATCACCGCCACCCGCTCCTTAATATTTTTTTAACATTAATTTTCACATATCCTTTGAAAATTTCATACATTTATACAAAATCTATCTTGATCACATTCACCTCCCACTCCCCACTGCAACTTTTCCCATGACCACCCATGATAGCTTTCTGATTTCATGCCTTCATTTTTGTTCATTTAACACATGGAGTTCAATTAGTGCTGCTCATATATTCTTGGGTGTGGGGTCATCCACTTGGACATGGAAATCTACCAGTGGCCATACTACTTAGTACTGTGTCTCCGCATTAACTGCTCCCCACTGCAGTAAGCAGCTTTTCTTTGCAAGGTTGGGAGCAGCACAAATTGAAGGGAATAAACATAACTATTTAGAAGGCAGTTTGACAGCATGAACATGTAGAAAATCATCATCAGTAGATCCTCGCTATGACTTTCCTAGTCATGGATTGTGACCATGTTTACAGTGCCAGGCATGAATTACCTCCTGTGGAGCAGGTCTCAATCCAGTCAAGACAGCAAGTGGTTGCCCCGTCAACAGTCTTGCCTGTTTCACCAGCAGGCTCATCCTGTCTGGCAGGTCAGCATTCATTGGAGCATTCAAAGAAAAGACCTTTGATGACTCTTCTCCCTCAAAGATAAGACCTTTGATGACTCTTCTCCCTCAGCAGCCCACATAACACCTTCTGAAACTATGAAAACATGCTATGTTGGTGTGCATTTATAACTCCTGTATGGGGGGGCCTGCAGCAGGAGGATTGCTACGAGTTTGAGGTCAGCTTGGGCGACATATTGTGTTCCAGTCTAGCCTAGACCACAGTATATGACTGTCTCAAGAATTTTTTTTATTGATTTTATTGAGCTCTACATTTTTCTCTGCTCCTCTCCCTGCCTCTCCCCTTCCCTTCAACCCTCTCCCAAGGTCTCCATGCTCCCAATTTACTCAGGAGATCTTGTCTTTTTCTACTTCCCATGCAGATTAGATCCATGTATGTTTCTAAAAGAGTTTTTTTTTTAAACAATGTTTTTAGGCTCCTTTAAATTTTAAAATTAAGTCGAGGTTCTTGTTTATAACAATAAGCTCCGAGAATTCAAATACACACACATACACACACAATTGTGTACATTGCTGAAGATGAGGACACCCTCATTAGGTGAATTATTCATTTCTCTTTCTGCAAGGAGAGGGGAGTTTTTTCAATCTCTTTCATTTATTTTTTGGCTTTTCTTCAAGTCCCAAATGCTGTGTAGTGGATCTGAATTTCTTTTCCATAACTCAAATTCCATTTTTAACCCAAGATAATATATGTAAAGCTTGCATTCACATGATAATTAAGTATCCTCTTTGGATACTGAATCCTGGCTCTGTTACATTCTAGCTGTGATCTAAAAGAGGATGTTTTGAGCTGGATTCCTTGTCAGAAATGGGGCTCATACTTCTGTGCTGGGGCGATAACTGGACAAAGTTTGACACAGGTCTTGATATAGAATAAAAGCCCATTGAACAGTTTCTTATTACTTTGTCTGTAGTGAATATTGGTGTTAATGGAGTTCTGAAGGTCTTCATGTTAACTTGAGAAGTATTCTGTTCCTTTATTTTGATCCTCTGTGTGTGTGTGTGTGTGTGTGTGTGTGTGTGTGTGTGTGTGTGTGCTGAGGCAGCGTTGTTCTTCAGGAACTGTTCACATTTTCCTTTGAGATAGAATCTCTCACTGACCTCTAAGTTGCCAAGTAGGCTAGGCTGGCTGGCATCAAACGTAGGGTTCCACCTGCCTCCCTTGTGCCTACAAGCACGGGTCAACATTCTTGACTTTATAAAATGGTGAGTACTGGGATGGGGGAGTCAAACTTGGGTCCTCATGCTTGCCTGGTAAGTGATTTGCCAACTAAATTGACACCCTGAACCAGCGCATCACATTTCCAAAAAACCATGAGAAAAGTGGGTGAATGTGTCCCGGAGCAGGAGGTGACACCCGAGCAGCTGTGTGGCCCACATCTGCCTGCAGTTCTTCACCTCTGCCTTTGACCGACAGCCTTTACAAGCTTTTTCATCACCCACCCTTTACAAGCGAAGGTACAGTGAGTTGGTGTTCAGTGGATTGGTGATCCACACTAGAACCAGATGAAAAACATCTGTGCCACTGAATGGGTCCCTGGGATTTGGGTAGTCATGGATGCCATTGATGACATCAGGCTCTATTATTAGGGGATAAATCTCTGGGTGTGTCTGGGGGAGAGTTTTTAGACTGGATTAGCTGAGGAAGGGAGACCCACCTTGAACGTGGGCAGCCCCATCCCATGGGCTGGGGACCCAGACCGAAAAAAGATTCTCTTGAAAGGTGAGCTGACACGTGGGGTAAAACCAAAGGGTTAGGTATCCCGCGTTTGCACGGTCTGCATCACAGACCGTGATGGTCTGTCTGAGTTCACACCAAGAAGAAAGCTGGGCAGAGTAGCAGTGAACCCTTGAGGAAAGAGATGACTGAGGGACTAACATTGTAACCCTCACCCTGTAAGTGAGGTCATATTTGCGTCGTAAGTTTGCATTACTAGAGATTTGTGAATTTGGGGACAGACCCCGATGGCTGAAATAACCGACACAAGGGTTGGTCTCTTTCTGCTTCCACGAGTGTTGTGTGGCACACATGCGTATGCTTGCTTGCATGTATGTGGGTGAGCATGCATGTGGAGGCTGTAGGATGATGTCACGAATCATCTTCCATTAATCCTCCACCTTATTCATTGAGGCAAGGTCTGTCAATCAAAACCAGAGCTCACTGATACAGTGTGTCTCCAGAGCCAGCTTGCTCTAGTGGAATCCTGTGCCTCTGCCTTCTGCAGCTAGAATTACAGGTGGGCCACCATGCCCACTCAGCATTTTCATGGGCTCTGGGGATTCGAACTCTGATCCTCAGGCTTGCACAACAAGTGTTTTAACCACTGAGCCATCTCTCTAGAAAGCCTTTAATGACAGCTGCCACTGAGTGGGTCCCTGGGATTTGGGTAGTCATGGTTGTCATTGATGACCTCATCAGGCTCTGGAGTCAGCTAGGGGATAAATCTCTGGGCGTGTCTGGGGGAGAGTTTCTAGACTGGATCAGCTGAGGAGGGAAGACCCACCTTGAACGTGGGCAGCCCCATCCCATGGACTGGGGCTCCAGACTGAATATTAAGGAGAAAATGAGCTGAGACCAGCATTCGTCTCTCTCTGCTTCCTGACTGGGTCGTGACCAGCTGCCTCCAGCTGCCCTGCTGTGACCCAGGGACAGGTAGGTGGCAGTGGGTATATGATAGAGATTATATCCCATCGAAATAACTCTGGATCTGACCGCGAATGAAGCGAGGGAGGGGCAGGTGTGTCACTTCTTCTTTAACAGGCGAATGCTGCAGCTCTGTCTGGTCAGGATCGGAGGGCGGGAAGGAGATGAAACAAGAAAATCTCAGGAGACGCTCATTTGTGAAGCCATGGCAAGCGTTTTAATGACAACTGCCACCACAGGTTAAATAAATAGCTTTGAAAATCTATTGTAAATGCTACAAATATACGTGTCCAATGTCCAACCAAGGTCACCAGGCTTCCAGGACCTTTTCTCAGCTACAGATTTTAGTAATAGAGAAAAAAAAATGAAAACCATGGCCATCCCCTGGTATGTCTATGAGTGCTGCTCAGCTGAGGGTCACAGTACCGGGTGTCCTCTCCCTCTGCCAACGGACGGAAAGCGCCAGGCCCTGGACATCCTAGGAGTTCATCTGCTTTTCGTGCGATCACTCTGCTCCGAGTGGACACGATTCTGTTCTGTGCTGTTACACGGCTGTGCAAAGCCACAGCTTGATTGACAATCTAACATAGATTTTTTTTTTTTAATCATTTTGAGCTTACGTTGGTTCACCCTGCCCAATAAACTCTGATAACTCAACTCTACTCCCAAGCATCTTTTCTGTTAGTTCAGGACAGTGCTGGCTGTCTCTTGTGGTAGCCATGGCCCATCTGCCTGGCTCGGAAACACCCTGCTCTTCTGATTGGACTACCATCTCTCTACAGTGTTCACACCGACGGAGACACCGAGTCTCTGACTTCACAGGGAGTGGCCGGGTGTCACAGTGTGTGCCCTGTTCTCCTGGTCACGTCTCATTCAGACAGCGGTGAGCACTCTTCCACCCACTGGCCTGACCCAACTGATGATGGCTATGGGACTTGCTCTTCCCACGGGAGGAGCTGAGCATTTCCTATATTGTTTAAAAAAAAAAGCCAGAAAACATCAACAAAGCAGGGAGATATAAAAACAGGTTAATGTTACCACATAAAGCTCGGACTCATTGATGATCTTCCTAAAAAGAGGAAAAAAAACCTATCTAGTGAATAGAAATATAATTTATATTTCATTTAGGAAAATATACCACTTGGTCCTTGGAAATAAGCATGGAATTCAATCAAATGGAAGCCTAGGACACAAGAAGGAGACATGGAAGCAAAAAGGGATATAGAATCATTCTTTCTAAGAGACAACCAGGGATCAGAAGATGTTCTTCGTCCTGGGCACCAGGTTGACAGACACAGGCTGTCCTCAGAAACATGAAGATTGAATTAAAATGGAGGCTGCCTCTTTAGCGAGCCCTATGTTTACATTTTGTTCCTTTGTTAGAAATATAAACCAACAGTCGTTTGTGTCTTTTTATTTGTCTTTTTTGTATTTTTTTAACAAATATTTTTGGTAGCTTGTTTGCAGTGTATCTTGAGTCAGAAAATAACCCTCTCACCTCTGAGCAGTTCTGTCATGGATCCACTCTGCCTCCCTGTGGAGTCAGAGACTCAAACTTCTGGAAACCTATCCATCCTCAACTGCTAAAAAAAAAAACCAAACCAAACCAAACCAAACAAAACAAAAAAAACCCTTTAATATAAAAACCTCCCTTCCCAGCTTCTAAACAGCTAGCTGGCATTTTGTGGGCCCTAGTCTTCCTTGCTCAGTCCACCGGGAGCTTGCTCCATCCAGCTACTCGGCCGAGGGAAGGAAGAAAGGAGGACACTGTCTGAGTTGGAGAGGTGGCCAGAACACTACACATTGTCTTGGAATTTCTCCAGATAGGTTCTGAGTTCCTTGGATGTGCCCACATCTAGGTCTTGGCAAACCCATTTGATGTCATCGTTGCCACTGAGGATGGAGTTCACTGTGGGGCAATTGTCCTCGGGTGGCATGGTGAAGGTGGCAAACTTCACCTTCTTCATCTTGGAGGTGGGTGAGTTTGCAGGTTCCTGCCTGAGCTCCCTGCCCTGCCGCCCCCCGGAGCCTGGTGGCCTGTGGACCTGGCTCTGCAGGTGCTTCTGGGAGCCACCATTGAGAAGCAGGTGGTTGCTCTCTTCGCAGCCGCCCAGCCCTCGGTCTATGATGGTCGTGTGTTCATCCTGGGGTGGTGACACATCCCCAATGTTCTCCAGGAGTTCTGCCTCATTGCCCAGCCATACCCAGTCGTGAGAGTGAGTCATGGATGCCTGGCCTTCCAGAGGCACCTGTTTGTGCCTGTACTTGAAGGCAAAGGTGGCACAGTTAATGAGAAAGACAAGGATGGCCAGGCAGAAGACCCCCAGGAGGGCATACATCCCAATCTCCAGGTCACTCAGGCCATGGGCGGTCTGCATCAGACCATTCTCCTCCAGGGTGCTTCCGGCCTTGGGGAGGTCCACATGGGCTGGGAAGTTGGTGAAGTCTATGGGGATGCTGTGTAGCCTGGCCCCATCCAGCCTGCCACTCTTCCCCACTTTGTTATCCAGCAGGGACTTGGCCGTGGTGGTGGCACTCAGCGGGACCCCTTCCTCACGATCCCCAGGAGAGTTGCCATGGTAGCGTTCATCCTGGCCTGGGCGTTCCAGGTCTTGAATCTTCTGCCGGCGATCACTGGCATGGTTCTTTATTTCCTCCTCATCCTTATCTCCAGTCTTGATGGCATCAGCATCGTCCCATCCAAACTTGACCCCCGTGTGGCCGATGCCCACAGCCAGCACGCTCTTGCGTTTGGACTTCTGACAGGCCTCAGCAATGGACATGTCCACTCGGAGCAATGGGCCCTGGCCTTCTCCTTCAGCCACCACAGTGGGCCACCAAGGTGAGAGGGGCTGTGGGATGGACACGACCATCTCGTCCAAAGAGGTAGTCGTCAAGGAGAAGTCCTTGGTGTCATAGATGTCCAGGGGTGTCACTGAGCCGTCACTAAATTGGAGCCATGTGCTGACTATAGCTTCCTGCAGGGACAGAGACCATGAGAACCACTTGGGGGGGGGGTGCCTTATCTCCAGGGACTCATCCTAGAACAACACCAAAGAAATAGGAAGGGTGACATGGAGTCCTGATCTGGTGCCAATGAGGTGGGGAAAGTGAATATGCTTGCCATCCAAGAGATACCCTAACACAGCTCCAGCATCAGCCAGATGCAGAAAACACACACAGTCCTGGACTGGCTTTTTGTTATCTGTCAACCATTTATTCGTGGGCTTCATTAGCCTCATAGGACAATGGGGACTTGTAGAGGTGGGCAACTGAGGCAGGAAATTCTGCCAGAGCAAAAGACCTGAAACTGGAAACTACGGGCTGGGAATGTGGACCAGTTGGTAATATGCTTGCCTAGAGTTCATGAAGTTCTGGGTTTGACTCCCCATACTGCCTAGCCTAGATGTGGTAGAGCATGCCTTTTTTTTTTTCAGGGCTTGGGATGGAGTTGGAAGCAGGGATATCAGGAGCTCGAGGTCATTCTGGGGTACATGAGACACTGTCTCAAAAAAAGAGAAAGCTTGTCTTCTCTCCTGTGATGGTTAATCTTGGTTGTCAACTTGACTACATCCAGAATCAATAGAAGCCCTTGCTTCTGGGTACTCTTGGGAGGAATTTCCTTAATCAGATTACCTGAAGCAGGAAGACCCACGCTAAACCTGGGCCACGCCTCTATTGGCAGCCCAGATAAAAGAACAGAGAGGAAAGGAAGCACTGCTTTTTGCCTGCTTGCCCTCTTGCTGGCAAGTTCATCTATCCTATTGCTGCAGCTGGAATCATATCCAACTTCAGGTTTTCATCATGGACTGAAGACCAGCAGCCCTTCAGGAATCACCCAGAACTCCTGAGCTAGACTGGAACTGCAGAGACATCCAAGCTCACACTTTGAACAACTACCAGGCTCTCTACTTTTCCATCACGAGACGGCCATTATTGGACTACCTGGACCACAGCCAGTAAGTCACTCTGCTAAATCCCCTTTTAATGTAGATCTTCATCCTTTTAGTTCTGTTCCTCTAGAGGACCCTGACTAATTTCTCTCCCCTCTCCACCCTATTCTTTCACAGGGTCTAAAAAGTGCCCTTTGCTTTGTGTGTGTGTGGGGGGAAACAGAAAAGCAAGATTATCTTCCCTTTGCAGGGCCCTGATGTGCCATGGCCCACTCTGCAGGACTGTCAGGTGGCCAACAGTGACATGCCTATGACACCTGGTGGGCTCAGCTCAGCTGCCTTAGAACAGACCAACAGACCAGCAAAGTTCAGGCCAAAAAAGACCTGCAATCGTTCAGCCAAGGCCCAAACAGACATAAAAACTCTTCCACTGTGGAGATCAGGGAAGGGAGTTTGAGTACTTCTGGCTCTGTCCTCATATGCTTGCTATGTTCCCAGTGAGCACAGACATTGCCTACTGCACAGACCAGGGATAATGTAATGAAATGGTGGGCACAGACCCACCTAGATGGACTGCTCCAGGGCATTTCCTGTGGGAGCCCTCACCTTCAGCACCGTGGACAGAGCCTTAACCTCCTGGTTACCAGGACAAACCTGGAACTCTTTAAGAAGGAATCACAGAGCACCTATGCATATCAGCGGTCAGCTCAGAGGATGCCTCTCTTGCCAAACAGATGCCACTACAACAAGTTTAAGCAGCGTGTCCCTCAGCTGTCAGGTTAGCAAGAAGTTAGCAGAGCTGTGCTATGCTGGAGACCCAGGGATCAGCCAGTGCCCAAGCCTCATTGTCAGGCGTACCCAGAACAGCTATGCTTAGCCTTTCCCTAAAGGCTCACTGTGGTGCTCTACCCTCATCACTAGACCAGTCCTGGTTGTGGGAGCCTTTCTGGTTGCTCCCCTGGCCACACCCACCTCGGCCCCTATTGTGACAGCAAGAGGAGGCAGAGGGAGCCTCTTTACAGAAGACAGGTTGAAAAATCTATTTCCTCTCTGCCACTGGTGGAAATAAGAAAGCTGTATTCGGTCCTGGGCTGATGTGGCACTGCCTGTCGGCCACAGGGAAGGGAAGCAGAGAAACGGACTGGAAGCTGGACCCAAGTGAATATCGAACCACACGGAGCTCCTTAGGAGCAGAGCAAGGTAAAGCAACAGCTGCAGAAGGCTCTCCCGATAAAAGCAAAACTCCATCTGTGGGTAGGCGGCAGGTGTCACAAAAGGCGCGTTAAAAATACACACAGGAGGTCTGTGGACTGGCTGAGTGGATCAAAGCACTGACTTGCAAGGCTGACGCCACAGGAGTTCAATCTCAAAAACCCACTGTCAAGGTGAAAGGAGAGAGGACAGACTGCTTAAATTTGTCTTCTGACCTCCACACATTTGCTGTGGCATGCACATGCGTGTGCACACACACACACTCTCATACATACACACACACTTTACTACTACTACTAATAATAATTTAAAAGCTAAGATGATCAGACTAATATTAGAGATACAGGAACAATTGGAAAAAGCTGGGTTAAAATAAACCAAGAAAAAAAAGATTGCTAATGAAATAAAATGGCAAAGGAGAAATTGAAGCAGAATCTGTACTAGGAGAGCAGCGGTGAGGGGGGAAGGCAGGGATATGTGGAGACCTACACAGAATTTCTAGAAACGGAAAACTGAGCAGGTGTGTTGACAAAAGCCTGCAGTCTTGGGACTTGGGAGGTGGAGGCAGGAGGCTCAAGAGCTGAGAGGTCCATCTCAGTTACATAGCAAGTTGGAGGCCAGCCTAGGCTACACGGGACCCCCATCTCAAAGAAAAGAATGGGGGGAGGGAGAAAGTGAGTGAGTCTCTTGGGATGCCTTATGCAGCAGGCAAGGCACGCCTGAGGAGAGAGCCAGCTCACCAGCCAACACAACCAGTATGGTTACTCAGGACTAGGAAGACATAAAAGACAAGACAGGCAGATGGAGAGGGATAAGGAGAGCAAGGACAGTCAGTGGTCCAGTTACAAGCTTCAGGAGGAAGTCGGAATGAGAAAAGCACAATTAAGCAATGGTGACTGCAATCCACCGCGAAGACAAACGGCAGCAGTGGAAGGAAGACTTCAGGCGGTGCTGTCTGGGCACTGGCTGTCCCTGAAGGCATGAATGCCTGCCTACAGGCCATTCCTTCTGTTTAGGGCAATTGAGGCTGAGTCTCTGCTGTTTGAAACAGAAAGGCCAGAGCGAAGTTCTGTAGAGCAAGGGGGATTGCACTGGCCACCACTGACCCTCTGCTCCCCGCTATTTTAAAGCATGACCATTTTATTGGAGGTTGAGAGAAAAATACAGGACAGGCAAGATGTAAATCTTGGCAGCTGCCTGGAAGAGGGAGAGAGAAACCCTTCCCATCTCTTGAGTTAACACCAACAATAGAAGTCAGCAAGCAGCTCTATGTGGGGTCCATACAGCTTTCAGAAAAACAAACAAACAAACAAAAAACAAGAAAGCTCAGAGTGTAAGGGCTGGGCACACTTAGGATTTTGCCCAAAGATTAGAAAAAAAGGGTAAAGGTGACTAGTTATGTTTCTGAGTTAGACTCTGCGCTAACTTGAAGTCTCAAGATGGTGTGGAAGAGTTATCCTGCCGCTCAGCTGCTACGAGCTTGCCTTTCCACCATCAACTTTGCGTATTCATCGTTGCTCACAAGCATCCCCTGGCTTTGGAGCCTGAGTTCTTGAGTGAAGCCAGAGATGCCAAGGAATTCACAGCCACCAGGGCTGTCCCGGATGAACAATGGATCAGTGGTGTTATACCGAACCCAGCTCCCTCGTCCTTTGAGCGTGGTACATCCCTGGCCTTTTCTAGTCTGGTACGGTCTCTCAGTGGCAGAGTGGATGATGTAGATACAGGACCTGCCTTCCCTTCCTCGCACACTGTCTGCTTTGTCTGCTGAGGGGCCTTGATTGTCCAGATAAACAAGCAATCCTGGCTTCAGCCTCAGCATGTGGGGAAACTGATACGGACAGAATGTGGCCCTGTGCCTTTGGTTTTTACACTTGGAGCTCCATCTCTGTCACCCAATAAGGCCCATTCTCATACTCAGACCTCCTTCCGGAATCTCAGGCAACTCATTTGATTTTTTTCTTCCACCCAAGCTTAAAAATAAGCAAGGCTCGTATCCTAGATTTTCAGAAAGGAAGCTATGAATGACACACACAGGAGTGTCTGCCTTGTGAGATAAAATGCTGTGCATTGTGGCTGCCTTTCATCTGGAATTAATTTTTCTTCCCCCACCTGGACAGAGAAGGACGTTAATATAAACCAAGTCTTGCTCGAAGGACCGATAGTGGGACTGAAACTTCAGTCTGGTCAGGGCCAATTCCATCAGCTCTGTCTTGTGATTGAGATCTGGTCCTGCTATCATCTCATTACAGCAAGGCTGGAAGCCTCCCTGGAGAATCCAACACACGTCTCCCAAGACGATAAATGCCAAGTGACTTCAAATAACACGTGGCCACCAGTGATTTAGGCCCTGCTTCTTTAGAGAGCCATCCTTGCAAACTGAAGATGCTCTATCTATGAGTCTCCTGCATCTGGCCTGGGCATGCAATTACTGCTGGTTGATGAAGACAGATGGGTCATGTTGGATGTGGATAGTGGTTTTTAATCCTATATCCTAGAGGCTATGCTGCCTGTCCATTCCAATCCATGTTCCATTTTAGCAAAGAGTTTCCATATTTTTGACTTTTTTTCTTGTTCTTTTGACCCTCATCTTTTTTCTAACATGAAGATCCGAGGTTGATATTAAGTGTCTTCTTCAGTGACTCTCCACCTTGATACAGGGTCTGACTTAACCAGCAACCCTCTGGAATCCTATTGTCTCCACCTCTCCACAACTGGGCTGCAAGCGTGTAACAATTTTTTACTCTCATTTACAAACCGTTACACACTGTCAATTCCTGCCTTCAGGGAGAAGGGCGGAGGAGCCATCACTGCAGACTGGACAAGGCTGGAAGGCACTTCCAGTCTCTCTAGTTGATGTTCGGGACCAAAGTGAGGTAGCAACTGTCTACTGTGCTGGACAGGATGGCTTGTTTGTTTTTTTGCTTTTGTTTTGTTTTGTTTTTTGGGACAAGGTTGCTCTGTGTAGTCCTGGCTGTCCTGGAACTCCGCCTACCTCTGCCTCCTCAGTACTGGGGTTAAAGGCATGTGCCACCACTGCCTGGCTCAGGATGGCTTTTCAAAGACAGCTTGGTAGAGTTTCCAGAAGCTGGGTACATGGTGAGGGATGCCTGTCTCATCTGTGTCACATGGTGCAGTTCTCTATGGGACAGGAATGGCTTCCTGGGCTACCTAGCCAGGGGATGGTGGAGTTATCGCCCCATTTAGGGTCACCAGTTCCTGCTGCTGATGGTAGAGGAGGGTGACAGAGCCTGGGGCAGACTATATTGTGAGTGAGGGAGGTGAGAAGTAGAGTAAGAAGGAATTGATGGTCACAAGGACCTAAGTGAGGCACCCAGACAATTACAATAACTACGAGATGGGGACCTCGTCATTCACAACAAGGATCTTGCTCCCAAACAGCAAACCCCTGGAAGTAGATCCTTCCCTGGATGAGAAGTCAGCACTGTAACACCCTGAGTGCAGGGCCCAGCTGGGCTTCCACAGAACTGGGACAATGTTGCAGTAAGTTGTTAGGCAGTCCTAATTGTTACACAGCAGTAGCTAGCTGATACACCCAGGTGTGCTGAGTACCATTCCAGGGTCCTTCTTGGACCCTACAGCAGGGATGATGAGGTCATGTGGATTTCACAAATCATGTGCCACCTGTTGGCACCTCTAACTCAGTCATAAAATAGGCAGCTTGTGTCTGCTAGTACTAAACCCTACAGGGCATCTAGGATTTTTCTGGATTTCTCTAGAAGCACCAAACCTCCCCGGCTTTGCTCTGCCTGCACAGATGGTCACTGTGTTCTGTCTTAGTAGTGTGTCTACTCCCACAGAGCCTGTTTTTTTCCATTATACTGTGCGAAGGACTGGAGGCCCTACTGCCTCCTTGTCTGGCCTAGAGCCTGTTGCCCATGCCAATCACAGCAGGCCAAACTCCTGGCACACTCTGTCCACACTGGGGTTTACATGGAGTCTCACTGCAGCCTGCCAACTTCTCCTGACTGTGTGTCACCCGTGGGAACCAGCTTTGGAAACAAATGCCTGAGCCAATATGAGGCCTACCCTGGTGGAGTCATGAGGTCCCCAATGCTTCTATTCTTAACAATGATGGATTGTAACTGTCACTCACAGAGGGAATGGTGACAGAGACCTTCTTTGTAGCTCACAATAGTTGATTCCAATATAATTCTCAGACATGAGATGAAGTGGTTCCCTCTAAGGACCGAGGTCCAGGTTGGGCCCTCCCAGAGCTCTACCTCCAGAATCTTGTTCAGTTCAGAAGTATGTGGTACTCCATGTTCTCTTCTCCCTTTCTACCAGCTCCCAACCTCCACTGACTTGTAATGGTGTTTGCTGTGAGCCTACCGTGCACAGCGGAGGGTCAGCTCTGCAAAGCATTGCCCCCACGACAAGTTACCCTATAGCCCATTTCCATAAGGTCAAAAGCAAACATAGGCGTGGAGGACATGTTAGCAGTAATTTCTGTGGTGTAGAGAATGCATAATGGAAGTGGGAGAGGAGGCAGAGATTGGCAGGGCTGTGAGGATGGCCTTTGTGAGCAGAGGGGTTGAAACTCTGGGTGCAAATGAGCCAAAACAGTGCGGAGGGGAGAGTGAGCTCAGGGGAACACATCTCAGATCAGAAGAAATGCAAGGAAAGGATTTCAGAAGGACCTGTCAGGCAGGGACCTGTGAGGCACAAGGGAGTTTCAGAGAGTTGGGGACAGAGAACCAGGGACAGAGAGCAGGCAGGATTGTCCCTGCCGGGGTATATGGGTCCTGGAGGAATCTGTATCATTAGGGAAACACAAGGGAGCAGTTGACCTGGTCTGTCCACTGCCTCCTCAGCCCAGGGGAAGGAATTGGGGAAGGAATGGGAGGAGGCTGTGGGAGTGGGGTAAGTTTGGGTTGGAGTGGGGTGGAGAGTGGGAGCAGGGTGAAGGGTGGGAGCTGGGTGAGGGGTGGGAGCTGGGTGAGGGGTGGGAACTGAATGAGGGGTGGGAACTGGGTGAGCAGTGGGAGCTGGGTGAGGGGTGGGAGCTGGGTGGAGGGGTGGGAGCTGGGTGAGGGGTGGGAGCTGGGTGAGGGGTGGGA